CTCGAATAAGTATCATCATAGCCACGCACACAAAATCAACGATTCGTAACGTGGGATCTTCAGCAAACATTCCATCCCATAATAATAGTACTTGATCAAGGGGAAATTCACGGCCAAATAACAAACGTATCCACCGTCTGCAAAATAGTTAAACCAACTTTTCGTTAAAATAACCAACATCAATAACTTTGAATAATATTATAGTTTTCTAGACCCTACATTCCATATAATTGAGGCTCAATCTCCAAATCTTTGAGATGTTTATATAATTCCGGATCCGCTTTTCGTAGATATTCCTCATGGATTTTATTACATTTCACAACCACCGGTGTAAGTTTCGCGGCCTTTAATAAATAAAATTAATATAGTATTAAGTTATAGTTGCTAATGTCCACCCAAAAAGCATACCTCTGCTTGAGCGGTGGCTATTAATCTAGCATTTTCAAGATCTGAACTTTGCGGACGCTATCATTTATCAATCAATATAGTTAATATGACATTAACCACATTAATCAATATATTTGCACCCAATTATCGACCTCATCATGATGATACTCATCATACCTTTATAGGTCTTCTATTGAACACCTCATCGTTGTACTCATAATAGACTTTAGCGGATTTCATTAATAAAGAAAATAGAGCAAATGTATCGTGCTCAACGAAATCTGCATTCAGAGCTTGTTTTATTATCGCATCTTCGCCACTGTCCACAGCATATCCTCGGCCGCTGGGTAAACTTTCGTGATCCACTACCCATAAAATCGGTGCCAATAGCTCGTGCATGCCTTGGCGATAGGAAACGTCTTGATTCATCTTACAGTAAATAAATAAGATATCTAATAAACGTGTTTGACATGTGTATGAATGGAAATATTCTTTATCCGGAAACCTTGAATTAAAAAATTACAAAAGATTTTCAATATAACAAACAAGAATGAAATAATAAAAATCGAGACATTTACGTGCGTTCCACATCTTGACGGATGATCTTTCGCAGTTCTGTATCCTTAAAATATTCTTGCCATGGATTCTGAAAATTATAGCGGTATCCATTAATAAATATATAACAAACAACTTAACAAGGAACTACAATAAAAATGAATAAATGCGTACTGCCTGATCCAACGATAATGGATTGTTTACCGCTAAATCGTTTGCATTATCATTTTCAGAATCCGAAGTTGGACTTGTAATATACTTTTGTCGTAGATTGGCATAATGTTGACGTTCTTTGTGAAGCGTCAGCGACCATGTCGATGTATCTAAGCTTGGTAGGTATGAGAGATATAGCTGTGTTGAGAAAATGATGAGATGATGAGGTGAGGTAAAGCATATATATATAAATTGTTAATAATCCGGAAAGTTTATCCGGAATTTGAAATTATAACCGAAATTTTCATAATAACGATAGAATCGTAAACATGATAATAGATCCGCCATTGAGTTTGTATTATAAAGTACTACAAAAGAACTATCTACCTATGCGCGCTATAGCCATATTTGAGAGGCGTCAATCTTTCGTGCCATTATGGATGGAATGTTTGCTGAAGATCCCACGTTACGAATCGTTGATTTTGTGTGCGTGGCTATGATGATACTTATTCGAG